CTTTATCAGGAGAGCAAATGTGTTTCCTAGGAGGCCACTGGCAGACTCTGTTTCATGCCCATGTTGTTTCACATGGCTATGCATGGCCAAAAGGGAACCTTTGAAACGGAGTATTTCACGGAATGTTTTTCTATTCTGAAAATAAAATCATTATTTATTTTATTTCATGAAATAAAAGAGAATGGTTATTAAACAGGTAATAGAATCTGTCACTGCCATTTAACTCCAATGTCAGGGGTCTCTAACTTCAGCCAGTCTGGGGTTATCCTTTCTTTTAAGGCTCAATTACAATAGTATTCTCTGGGCCTTCATTCAGTCTAATGGTTCTTTTTTTCCCTCCATGTTGAGCATCTGAAAACTTCCCTCTCCTCCCTCCCTCCCTCCCTCCCTCTGTCCCTCCCTCCTTTCCTTTCCCTTCTGTCCTTCCTTCCTTCCTTCCTTCCTTCCTTCCTTCCTTCCTTCCTTCCTTCCTTCCTTCCTTCCTTCCCTCTCTTCCCTTCCTTTCTCTCTCCCTTTCTCCCTCCCTCCCTTTCTAATTCTCTTCCTTTTCCTCCTCCTCCTTCTTCTTCTCCTTCCTTCCTTCATCCCTCCCTCCCTCTCTCTGTCCCTCCCTCCTTTCCTTTCCCTTCCTTCCTTCCTTCCTTCCTTCCTTCCTTCCTTCCTTCCTTCCTTCCTTCATCCTTCCTTCCTTCCTTCCTCCCTCTCTCCCTTTCTCCCTCCCTCCCTTTCTAATTCTCCTCCTTTTACTCCTCTTCCTTCTTCTCCTTCCTTCCTGCCTTCCTGCCTCCCTCCCTCCCTTCCTTTCTCTCTTTCCCTCTTTCTCTCTTCTTTTTTTCTGTTTTCTTCTCTTTTTTTTTTCTTTCCTTTTTTGAGTCAGTATGTCACTCTGTCTCCCAGGCTGCAGTGCAATGGTGGGATTGCTGCTCATTGCAGCCTCAACTTCCCAGGCTCAAGAGTTCCTCTTGATTCAGCTTTCTGGGTAACGGGGACTACAGGTGCACAACACTACACCTAGCTAATTTTTTTGTAGGTATGGGGGTCTCCCTATGTTGCCCAGGCTGCTCTTGAACTCCTGGGCTCAAGCAGTCCTCCTGTCTCAGCCTCCCAAAATGCTGGGATTACAGTAATGAGCCATGGTGCCCAGCTCCTTCTTTCTTATACAGACCCATTCAACTCTTTTGCAACATCAGTCTCTGAACTCACCTTTCATATCCAAAGAAGCCATCAAGGTTTCCTAAGCAAAGAGCTATCAACATGTATATGGATTAGGCAACTATCCCCTAGAATAGAAAAATGACTGCTACACCATGGAATATTATGCAGCAATCAGAAATGATGAGTTTGTGTCGTTTGTAGGGACATGGATGAATCTGGAGAATGTCATCCTCAGCAAACTGACACAAGAACAGAAAATGAAACACCGCATATTCTCACTCATAGGCGGGTGATGAAAAATGAGAACACATGGACACAGGGAGGGGAGTACTAAACACTGGGGTCTATTGGGGGGAAAAGGGGAGGGCCAGTGGGAGGGGGAGGTGGGGAGGGATAGCCTGGGGAGAAATGCCAAATGTGGGTGAAGGGGAGAAGGAAAGAAAAGCACACTGCCATGTGTGTTCCTATGCAACTGTCTTGCATGCTCTGCTCATGTACCCCAAAACCTAAAATCCAATAAAAAATTAAAAAAAAAAAAGAAAAATGACTGCAGTAAGTTGCTGGAAATACTCTGTTCCCTTTCTTCTCACAAATGAAAATAAACACTTATTGTTTTCAAGTACTGAAAAATAGTACAATGTGCTTTAGGCCTTGTATGTCCGGAAATCTCAACATTGGACATTCTATGCAGAAAGTATGGAGTCAGTGGGACATGAGTCTGTTCTGTTTAAACCCACATTCGAGTATGTTAAAGTCAGCTTTGCCATGCAACCATGGTTTCTGTAGTTACTTACTCCCTCCAAATATGTTGTCTTTGGGACTCATGAAACAGTGTCAATGTCAGGAATGTGACTTCATGTATTATTCTCAGCACTTAACGATGATAAACTATCATTGTAGACTGTTGTAAATAATGCTCCTAAATTTGGCCACTCAACCATATTCAAACCACAGGCAAACTTTCTGACCATATGCAAATTCCCATTTGTGATGGTCACCTTCACTCATAGTTAGAAAGTATTGTGGTTGGTTCTCTCTCAGCTCTAGCAGTGGGGTGAGATTCAGTTAAACCAATCAGCATATTTCATTACCCGTGGTAGCAGGCAGCTTTGGAAATGGCTTCGTGGTGTCCCCACCTCCTGGTATTCACACTCTTGTGTAATCTTTGCTTTTTGAGTGTGGATGGACTTATTGCTTGCTAATTGATATAGTTTGGCTGTGTCCCCACCCAATTTTCATCTTGAATTCCGATATGTTGTGGGAGGAACCCCATGGGAGGTAAGTGAATCATGGGGGCAAGTCTTTCCCGTGTTGTTCTCATGATAGTGAATAAGTCTCATGAGATCTGATGGTTTTAAAAAGAGAAATTCCCCTGCACAAGCTCACTCTCTTTGCCTGCTGCCATCCCTAGAAGGTATGACTTGCTCCTCCTTGTCTTCTGCCTTGATTGTGAGGCCTCCCCAGCCATGTGGAACTGTAAGTCCAATTAAACATCTTTCTTCTGTAAATTACCCAGTCTCAGGTATGTTTTTATCAGCAACATGAAAATGGACTAATACACTAATAATGACTAAAATATTGCAGAAGTGATGAGTTATCCCTTCCAGAATTACGTTATCAGACTGTGACTTCCATCTCTCTCTCGTTTGCTTGCTCTGATGAAGCCAGCTACCTTGTTGTGAACTGTCCCACAGAGGCCACATGGGAAAAAGCTGAGCATGGTCTCTGCCTAACAGCCAGTGAGGACCTGAGGCTCTCAGTCCAATAGCCCACAATGAACCAAATTCTGCCAGCAACCACTGAGTAGGTTTGGGAGAGAATCCCGTTGAACCTTGAAATAACTGGAGCCCTGGCTGACACCACAATTGCAGCTTACAAAAGACTGAGCTGGAGGACCTCGTGAAGCTCTATTTGGATCTCTGACCCATAGAAACTGTGAGGTAATAAGTGTATGTTATTTTAAGTTGCTAAGTTTGATGGAGGAAGGGGGGTGTAATTTATTATACAGCAGTAGATGACTGATACACTTCTAGTTACAAAAGTTGGTTCAGATATGTACATGTGAGCAACTGAGCCAATGATAGGTAGGCTGACCCTTGACTTTTCAACTGGTGGGGGGAGAGAGGACGGAAGGAGAAAGAAAGTGGGGGGGGGTGGAGAGAGAGAGAGAGAGAGAGAGAGAGAGAGAGAGAGAGAGAGAGAGAGAGAGAGACTGTTCTTTATCATCTGTGAAACAAATAAGCTGTTCTACAGCTGTTGTCATCTTGTGACTTTGTAGAGGTACCTGTCTTAAAAGAAAGCTAACACAAATCAGAAGGCATGGCTGAGAGATAGGGAGATACCAGATTCTAAGGCATCATTTAAATACGTTCATCATGCTGTGTCTGAAGCCAGTGGATGTGAATCACAAGATTCCCTTTTTTTCTTAAGCCAGTTTCCATTTTTTGTAACCCAGAGTTTGACCTGATACAAACTGTAATTAGCTAATGATAAAAACTTCTCCTGTCCAAGGAAGGACTCGTCACCCTAAAACAGATGCTCCACGTCTTCTCAACTGGCACAATTTGGAGCATCTGTTTACAGCTTTACAGGAAAAGGGAGAAGGTATTTTTAAGTGTGTGAGCACAGGTTAAAAAAGTAATTGGAAACTAAGTAAGTAAAAAAACATCTTCAATCAAAGAAACATTTTGTAAGCTGAAATACTGTTCATTTTTATGATGGTATGTGTATATCTTCATACACAAAACTTCACTATCATTAGAAAATGTCACACAAAATAACAAATACACCTTTTTCAATCTGGTTATAAATATGCAGAATGGAGTTTATTTACCAAAGTGTTACACATTTCCAACTGATAATATATCAATAAAAGCTCTCACTCCAAGATGTCATTAAAGCCACATTTGTTCATTTCTATTTATTATGAGAAAAAACAAAATGAAAAAAGTGGATTTGAGTCATATTTCCTGTGAGTTCATCATTTGCTGGCATATAACACTTGTGAATTTTATTCAATTCATTTAAAATGATTTCTTACATGCAGCCAGAAAGTTGAGGGCGGCAAGGAATTCAAAATGATCAGCAGGCATCCGAGATTTCTCAGGAGACAGATTTAGAATCACAACTAAGGTATGTTTCCTTAAGGAATGTATCTTAGAAAAATTAGTTCTAATGAACCAGAATTTGTTTCTAATAAATTCAGCTCATTTGTATTTTGAAATCAGTAGACCCAAATGACCTTCTTAAGATGAGGTTCCTTCCTTCCTTCCTTCCTTCCTTCCTTCCTTCCTTCCTTCCTTCCTTCCTTCCTTCCTTCCTTCCTTCCTTCCTTTCCTCCCTTCTTTCCTCCCTCCCTCCCTCTGTCTTCCTTTCCCCTCCCCTCCCCTCCCTTCCCCTTCCCTCGCCTTCCCTTCCCTTTCTGATATAGGTCAAGATCTATGGTACCCATTTCAAATGCCCTCAGAACTCATTCTTCTTCCTTGTTTATTTCATAAAGTGTGTGATAATAGGAAGTCAGCTGGGCTACAGTGATGCAGACTGACAAAAATCTTCACCCAGAATTTAAGCAAAACCTTTCAGAGGCCAAGAATACCTAGATAATTTTCAGAAGAACAAGAGGAATTGAAACAAGGAAAATTGTTTTTAGATATTTAGATATCTAAAGCAAGACAAGGTACAAAAAGGTTTGTTCCTTTTAAAAAATTTCCCAATTGTCCTTGGTAGTTGAAATGTATAAAAAATCATTTTCTTTGTAATAATTCTTTCCTTTTGAGAGTAGCCTTTAAGGAATCAGATATCTTAGAGTGTAACCTTCCCATCTATACTTTTAGCTGAGCCAGGGACATGGCTACTATATACCTATAGAATTAGTACCAGGTGATATCAATGAATTTGAATACCACCCCAACTGTTAGCGCCTTCCATGAGTCAGGTGTTCACATAAATCTTTGCATTAGATGCTTGGACCCAGTTTCTCACACTTCATTTTCCCCTCTTTTTTGGACGTATTAATATGGTACCATGTTTTCCAGATTCACTGTAGCCAGCGTTCTGGGTTGGAGTTAGACTCTTCATTAACTATTCTCATAGGAGATTGGGAAGGTGAGAGTTATTTGTGACTGATAGTAGATGAGCAAGCAAGCACTCACAGAAAGATTCCCTGTCAGCCTGACACCATGTTCCAGTGTCTGGTGGCTGGTTTCGTGGGTGAGAGGCAGTGAAAATGATAAGAGAAGCATTATAGCAACAACAACAGTGCCATGACCTGCAAACAAACAGTCCCCCTTTCAATTTTTCCAACAATTGGGTAGGTAATTTCTCAGCCCATTTTATAAGGCCCCAACTCTTCAGCCATCAGTGCCTCTGTGCCCTTGCAGCATAAATTTGCAGCACCAGCAGGGTGATCAATTGGTCCCAGTTTGTCTATGATGTTCCCAGTTTTTGTACTGAAATTCCTGCTTCCTGGAAAACTCCTCTAGCCCTGGAAATCCAGGATGGTTGGTAATTCTAAGAACCAGGCACTCTGTGTGGGGTATTATATCTATCCCAACCACGGCTTGTGGACCTAGCATGTAACCCACTTTGGCCAGTGGGATGTTAACCAACCACACGCACACAAGAAGAGGTCCTTTTGTTCCTCTGTCTCTGCCACAAAAAAGTCCAGGCTGTCCCGATGGAGAATTACACATTTAACTCAGGTGTAATCAGCCAACAGCCAACAAGACATAGAGCGAACATAGCATCACCAGAAGAACTGCCCAGCCCAGCCCAGCACAGCCCAGCGTAGCCCAAGTCTCTGACTTGCAGGTCTGTGATTTAAATACAAACTCATTATTTTAAGCCGCTGTATATTTGTGTGTGTATTCAGGCATGTGTTTCCCAGTATTATCATAGTAGTAGGTAACTGGTACATACCTGATACCTGAATTAACTCATTATAGGGTTGAAATATCTGGAGTGATTCTGATGTCCTATACTGAGTCCTGACTGATACTGAAGTATATAGACATTTCCTCATTTAATTGTCACAACCACCCAGTGAGGTAGGTGTTGTTGCTCTCCCGTTTTACAGATCAGGTTGCTAACTAAATCATTCAAATCCCTACAACTCAGAAATGGCAGAGTGGAAAGCAAACCAGCATGCTGGATTTGAAGTCCACATTCTTAACCATCAGACCTCACTGACTCAGTTTTCACATTGAGAGGGAAAAATATTAGCAAGTTTCCTCTGTAAGGATCTAGAAGAAGGTAGGCTTGGAAGGTCTAAATTGAATGGGAATTATAAAGGAAGTACAGGTTTCATGCAGAGAATCTGCAGCTCTAAGTACGCTTGCATATTTTAGAGCTGAATTCCTTGAGGGTTGTGCAGCCTCTTCATCTAATACGATTGGATTTGGCCCTATCTTCAGATTTAGTCATTTCTTCCATGACAGCATATTAAATGACAATCTCAAATAGAGACCCACTCATCTGAACAAAGGGAACACGCCTCACTCAGGCCCTTCTTTGATTTATAACCAATTCTCTTTTAACATGTGGACCCAACAAATGAGAGATCGCTGACTAGCTCAAACAATGAACTTGTTAGTTAACAGAATTAACAGTATGTTGTTTCACTGTGATGACAGTAATAAAACAGGAGACGTGAAGCCGATATAGTCACAACTAAATCGTAATGGATGAGATATTTACAGCAAAGCTGTTAAAACATTGAATAAAATATGGGAAGAGCAAAAGCAGATGTGTTTTTATTCTTCTGAGTTGAAGCTTGCAAGGTAAAAAGATAGTTTGAGTAATAATCACAGGTTCTGATTCACAATGCATTAATAAATATTCATATGGTACCAGCCGCTGAAACTTTTCAGATACAGAAATAAAGTGAGAAAGCCTGTTCTTGCCTTACACTTTACTAAGTTTAGATTTCCAGACACACATGTCAATATCTCCATTAGCTTCCTGCAAAAGTTCTCTTTTATTTTCCACTGCGTTCCAAGTCTTGATGGTGAAACACTCATCTTTCCTGTTACGTTCTGAATGTCACAGTATTTCCCCCACTCAAACCACAAGAAAGTAGAAAGAAATGATGGTCTATTAATAAAGAAGAGACCTGTAATTCAAGTAGAAGATACAGGTGGAAGAAAATGAGCATATCTCTTTTGAATTAGGCACAGGTAAATGAGCTATATATCCCATTGGACGTCCAGATCCCCAAACGGATTAGAACAGTGGGATGCCTGATTTTGCAACAGCAAGCAAAACATTTATGTGTTTTTCTTTTGTTACTATCATTGTCTTTGTTTTAAAGGAGCAGGGAGCTTTTTGAGAGCACAGGGGAATGCTACCACGTTACTCAGGGTTGTAACAACTTGGGAAACATAATTGCGGGTAGGGGATGTGAAAGCATCAGGATGCTTGGTCCAGGTTTGCTTTCCTGCATTTCAGAAAAACAGATGCTGGAAAAAGAAGGGAGAGGGTTGGCACAGAACTGGTTTGGATTTTTTGGGAGGGAGGAAAGTAAAAAGGGAGACAAGAGTGTCTTGCAGGGACCCAGATCTCCCTGATTGGGGTCATAGCACTCCACTCATAAGTACCTGGTTTGGCACTGGAGGCTTCCTGGTGGATGTCCGGGACGCTGCAGTCGGTAGCACAACAGGGTTCGTTGAGGTTGCTATGACATCCTTTGTTCCCCATTTCCCTGCTTTTATTGGCAGATGTACCTTGGCTTGTATGTAGAACCAGGGGGCTTTGCGTTGCATTTTCATTTTCCCCTCTGTTTTATTCATCACTGCGTCCTTTTATCTCCCTGCTCATCACCAAGTCTTCTCCCTAGACTTGCACAGAATCTTTCATTTGGGTTCCATTCTTTGCTTTCCCTCAGATGATCTCTGTTGGCTCCAAGTGAGTTTTTGTTTCTTACCCTCTCTTCCTTCCTTGGCCTTGGTATTATTTTTTCCTTTTAATTAATTCCATCAGTATTATTTTTTCCTTTTAATTAATTCCATCCCCACAGACTTATATTTGTGTGTTTTCATTTTCTTATTGTTCTCTGTCTTCTTTGAAAAATCTCAGGGTAATGTTCTGGGCACATGTCTATGGCTCAGAGTTCTAGGAAGGGAGAGGTCGGGGAGGGTGGCTTGCAAGCAGGTAGGGCGCAAGAGGAGCAGGAAGGAGGAGCTTTGAGCTAGAGCTTACAGGGAAGCCTCTTACCAAGTGACTCCTGGTCAGGAGAGGGATATTTCCAGAAGAACCTTCCTTGCACACACATCTGAGCACAAGCAGTCCTCTCGAGGGTCAGGAGTCCTACCACTTCCATTTTGGGGGATTACTGATGTGTTAGACAATGAAGATGGACTATAAAAAAAGAGTTATAAAAATTGTGGTATATTTGAAATATTTATGCCTAACAAATTAACACTCCTTATACAAATCTAAGGCTATGTCGTTGTGTCCTGTGCCAGCAAAGTAGCAGATTTAGAAACAATGTTTAATCTGAATGCACTACTGATAGCCTTGCAAACAAGGTTCACTAACAAAAGCCAACCACGTCAGGTATTTAGAAAGCAACCGAAGTTCAAAAGCTAATATTACTTGGTTTATCAGCTCAACCCTGAAGGAGTTAGTTCCCTATTATGCTCTGATTCTCTTGCCACTCTGTGCACAATTAACAAGGCAATTTTTTTTTCCTGAATGGGGTGTTTGGGGGTGGTCTGAGTTTTAGGTGATTCATGTCTTTTCCTTAATAACTTCAGCAGAGGAATTAATTGTTACAGTGCAATCATCTTTTTTGGAGGGAGATTTGGAATATGCTTCTTGTTCCTTTTCCCTTCAGACTTTTTTCTTTTTCTTCTTTGAATTGGACAGCCTGAATATTAGTTTTACTGGAGCTGAACATACTGAAACACTTAACCCAGGTGAAAAATGACTGCTTGCCAATGAATTTAACATCTATATTAAGACTATGCTGTTTATATAGCACAGTTAGATATAATAGAGAGTGTGATAGATCCAGGCATCAATGATATGCTTTTTTTTTTTTTTTTTTGAAAACCAAAGGATTGCAAAATGTGAGCCAGGTATGGCTACTTAAGAATTTGTGCAAATAAGAAAAGCATAGTTCTTACATTTTTAGGCATTGTTGTATATTTACCTTTACTTTTCTGGATTTATTTATTCATTGGCTAATAAAGATTTTCAGCCATAGATGGGAGTTCGTTTTTTTCCTAGGTAATCCATAAATGAATAGAACCAGACTCCAATCAGTAAATGAGGTATCTGATAAATTGGTTAAATAAATGATTCAATATTGTTGGAAGAATGAAACCAGAATTTTATCCCAGTTTAAATTTTCAGTGCTCTTAGGACTTCATTCTTAAGATAAGGCTCTTTCTGTATGAATGAAATTTATTTACAGAAAATAAAGCATTTGGATGAGTTTGTGACTTACTCAAGATTGCACAGCAAGTCTGAATTAAATTTGTGCAACAGGTTCTAATCCCATGGTCCAGCAATTGGACCATTCTCTCTAAGCTTCTTGGAGAATTAATTTCTCATTGCAAATAAATATATTCTGCACCATGGTCTGAACATACCAATGCTAAGCACATTTTCTGACAGACATTTCAAAGATACAGATGAGCTCTTGCATCTTTTCAACAGCAATGCAAAGACATCCACACAGCAGGTGCTGGAAGGGTCCCTCTGGCAGACAAAGCGGGTGCAGAAGCTCTGCTCAGTCAGGTTTTCCTGACCAAGCTTGTCTGTATAGCTGTGGTAAGCTGTGTGCAGGTCTAGCGCTCAAAAATGGGCCCCTGGCTCTCACAATGAACCTGGCAACCTGGCCAATCAAATTCAAGTCTAGCACGTTGCCAGGGTAACTAATACACAGTCACAAAAACAGAATGATCACAGTGAGGGAAAAATACAAAATGCAGCATTTTCATGCCTAGGGAAAGAAAGAGAAAACACAGGCTGACCATACATAGCAGGAGCTGGTACTTGCTTCTCCCTTAAGTATGAGCCATTAATTTACAGCCATGTGCAAATGCCTATGTGCACACGTTTGCACCTCTCCACATGCACAGAAAATATGTGCCTCACGTCTGGAACATTATTAGTGAATTTAGAATGGGAGAAAGATGGCAGGTTATGGTTTCGGGTGGAAAGATCTGGAGGCACACACACAAAAAATGAGCATCTACCCTTCTTCCTTGAGCAACTGCTGGGTTGAAAGGTACTTCCAGACTCGCTTCACCTAGTCAATGGTCCTTCCTGTAAGTATGTAAGGGATGCTACTGCCAGGGTAAAATAAACCACCCCATGCTCTTAGCAATGACTATCTCCAGGCCAACCGGTCCCTCTGTTTTGCCATGTGCCCCCATAGTGTAGGTGCCCAAGTGATTCTGAAAAGACATAGATCATGTCCTTCTACCACTTATAGCTCCTCCCCTGGCTTCCCTGCAGGCTGAGCAGCAGGTGGTTTTTTTCACCATGGCCCACCAGGTCCTGCTGAGTCCGCCTCTTCCTAACTCTCTGCCCTCATTTCTTGACACTCTCCCCCTGCAGTCCACTGTCACCACTCTTCCTTTCTGTCCCTTGAACATGCCAAGCTTATTCCCACTTGCAGTAGTTTCCTGGAGTTGCCATAACAAAGCCCCACAAACCAGATGGTGAAAAACAACAGAAACGTATTCTCCCATAGTTCTGGAGGCTTGGAGTCCGCAGTCAAGGTGTCTAAATGGCTGTATTCTCGCTGAAGGCTCTAGGGGAGTCTATTTCATTCCTTTCTCTGAGTTCCTGATGGTTGACAATTCCCAGCATACCTTGGCTTGTGGATGCTTTGTCCCCATCTCTGCCTCCCTGTGTGTTTCTACATCTCTTCTCCTCTTCTTATGAAGACAACGGTCATTGGATTTGGGCTCACCTGAATTGAGTAAGACTCAACTTGGCCATATTTGCAAAGGCTCTATTTCCAAATGGGGCCATATTTACAGGTACTAGCAGTTATCACTTCAGCATATATTTTTGGGGACACAACTCAACCCATAATGCCACCTCACAACTTCCACCTTGAGTTTCCTTCTACTAGCCCTTTTCATGGCTGGCTCCTTGCATCTTTTGAGGGTGAGCTCAAAAGCTGTCTTGTCTGGAAGCTTCCCAGATCACATGTTTTGAACTTCCCACCCCTCAGCTCCTTGTCATCACTGTACTTTGTTTCTTTCTTAGACTTTATCACCACCAGATATACAATTCCTCTCCCTCTCTCTAGGGGAATATCAACTCCCAGGAGCAACTGCTTTGCATTTCTCATTCACAGCTGTTCCCAGAGTGCAGATGCGTGCTTGCAACAACATAGGTGCTTGATAACTATGCATGGAATATAAAATCTGAATCAGCAAATTAGGGAAGTATGAGAAGTTGTAGAAGAGAAGGCTGAGTTGAGGTGATACTGAATGGATTCAACAGTTTCTCTACCAAACATCTGTCGGACCTCCATTATGTGCCAGGCACAGTTCTAAGTTTTAGCTCAGCTAAGACAGACACAAAGCCTTGAGCTCATGAGACTTGCATCGGAGTGAGAGTCCCAGCAGCTGCCATATGTTGAGTTCTTGCTATCTGCCGGCACAGTGGAGAACACCTGTGATGTGAATCCTACAGAGCGTTGTAGAAGGCAGGTGCTATCATCAACTTTACTTCTTCCCAGGTGTGGAAACAACTTCAGAGCAAGTTCACCTCATGGGTAAGCAGGAGAGCAAACTCCTCCCAAACATGGGGTTCCATTTCCTACCCTCTTAGCGTCTCCCTTATGCAACTCTTGAAGAAAACACTATCTCATGTAATGCTGGCCAGAAGTCCATGTAGTTGGCAATTGGCTGCATTTTTCTGATGAAATGAAACTCAGGAAAGTTAAATCACTTTCACACATCACAAGCTAATGGGTGGCAGGTAGGGCAGGAGGGAGATGGCCCTGGTTTGGTGTCAGAGCCCATGTTCTTAAGCCCTAAATTTATGCCCTTCTCAAGTCTATAGGTTTGTGGGCAGATATAGCAGGGGGTATCCTTTTTTAACAGAGCTCAGATCCCAAGGTTCTCAGACTCTAAAGGAGTGCAAGATTCATGAGGGGATTTTAAACATAGACTTTGAATCAGCAGGCCAGATGTTTCCACTATCCTCGTGTGACCTTCTGGGGCTCCCTAATTTCTCACTCATAGCCATATTCACCACATGGCGGGCTTTGTGCTACAGGGCTCCTTGGAATCTGCAGGACATCATGGCCTAAATCACTCCTTCCTCTTAGTCTCTGAAACAGACATATGTTATTTCGCTTAGCCAGGTCCAGACCTTCTTCTGATAATAACATCTCAAATTTCCTTTGGAGGAACCATGTCTCCCTCATCCCAACTCACAGGATTTGAATAGATTTGACTACTCCCCCATGGTTCTCCATGTGACAAGGTACTTTGGTGGACCCTATGGGGAACAAGAAACCATCTTTTCACTAGGGCTGCAAAGTGCATAGAATGCATGCTGGATGCTCTGTTACTATGAAGGGAGAGTCTGCCAGAGAATAAAGCCAGCATTAGGGTAAGCAGAGATGAAAATTAGAGAAAGAATCCTGACGAAATCTTGGAATGGCTGGATCTTGCCCTGGGAGTAGGCTTATTGCAAAAAATTCTGTGATAAGTTAAGACAATAAAGGCCCTTTTATGCTTAAGTCAGATTAAATTAGATGTTGACACTTGCTGCCAAAAGAATCCCCCCAAAAATCTCCTTTAGGCCAAATTTTCTTGTACTCCAGAAGAATCTCCCTCAGAAACTGGAGTGGCTCATGATAGTATTTCACACTAAAGTGCCAATGACTAGGAGTGCTTGCTGACTCAACCACTGGAATGTTCTGGAGATGAAATCGATATTTGAAAGCAACTGGAGGGTAACTGACAGTCGGTAGGTACTTAAAAAATATCCTGAGTCTATCTAAATATTACATTTCATTTTTTAAGTACTAGAATATTTGTACTTGGCAAATCTCAAATATATTTATAATTTGGGGAGTATAATAGCAGATATTTTATGTGAGAAAAGTTCTCATCATTGCTTTTTGCCTGTTTAGTTTACTTTACATGACTGTGAAATGCAAAATTTCAAGATTTTGACTTTTTCCATGATTTTCCTCTCTCTGCCATGTCCTTTTCCCCCCACACTTACACCACCCAACCCCAGTGGTCCAAAGTACAAGGATCCACCATTTGGAACTTAATCTTTTAAAGACCAGAAACTCTTCTTCATGAGAAGGAAGGGTGTGATTTATATGTGGCTTGATGTAAGAAAACATGGTGAAGTTTCAAGTTCTCTATTTTCTTTATTTAAAAAAAGTTAAAAAATAAATATCAGTGAATCATAGCAGGGATAGCAATTTAGTACATAAGGTATTGTTTTCTCTATTCCTCTCCCGCTCTATCTCTCTTTTAAGACTAATTTTAACAGCTTAGTGCATATCCTTCTAGTCATTTTTTTATTGTATTATAACCAGAAACAGGTGCATGTGTATGGCTAGGCACATAAACACATCATTTTTTAAAACATATTTTTGTAAACTGTTACCTTTGGATATATTTCCAAAGGTAGGATTGCTGGGTCAAAGGGTATGTAGAATTTTAATTTAAATGAACACAGATGATTACTTTCCAGAAAGTTTATAGAAATTCACTTTCTCACCAGTATATTTCTCCAAATCACTGCTATCCCAGATTTTTTTTTTTTTGCCCTTGATACTGTCAGCTTAATGAGCAAAACATACGTGTGGGTTTTTTTGTTTGTTTGGTTTTGTTTTTTATTGATGCTTTGGGATCATTTGGAATTCCACTTCAGTAATTGATCGTCTAGCTAATGGATCATTGTTTTTTTCCTTATTTATTTGTAGAAACTCTTTATATTTTAAAGATTAACTGTAAGTCTGTATTATGTGTTTTAAATATATTTCCTAGTCTATTGTTTGTCTTCTTACTTCATTTATGGTACCTTTTGCTAAGAAACATATTTCATTTTTATATGATTTAAGATCTTATTAAAATGAGGTCATTTTACATTCCTGTCAGTTAGAAAAGAAAGAACTTGATGAGAATTTTAGATGACAACCAGATCTATGAGGAGACCACCTTTGGTCAGGCCATCTGCATTCAAGTGTCTCATTGAAAGGTCTAGAAAATAGTCATTGTGGTTAGAGAGAAAACGACCACAAAATCAAGATACTCAGTCTATCCCAATGAGATGTGACCATCCAGTTTTATTTCTGCACCTTCTTCATTAGCTAGTTGGACATATTCAAACCAACCCTTCTGTTAAAAATAAGAAGATACAACCCCGAGATGACTTATGATTATAGTGCTTTCTCCTTAATTATCAGCTTCAAATATCTTTAAAGAGAAAATTCATGAAACCAATCCTTTTTTCCCCAAATTAAAGTCTCCCTCTTGGCAGTTACACTCCTCTCCCCAGCATGGTATTTAATCTTTCAAATCAATAGCATAATTGCTCTGTCCAAGAGATGGCTACAGGTTCGCCATGGTGGGCAGGGCTTCGAAGGGCAGGAAAGAATGAAATATACAGCTTCAGGGGTGAATTAAGAGTTCCTGTCTGTGAGTTTATGTTTCCTATTCAAATAGTCTAGAAAAGAATCTTTTTCATGTCCTTTAGAAATAAAATATGAACATCGTTGAATGTATCCAAAGCTTAGAATAAGGCCTTTCTTATTTTCCCTCTTTGTTCTATCATCAAGTTGCTTCAGTATCTGATATGGAATCTTGTGACAGCTAATATGTCCAGAGACCTTTTACTGAGAAGTTATGATGTTAATTCTTTTTTCTATTTATAAGACTGATCATCTTGCCCATTCGAGTCCTTTGGACCACTGCTTAGAATCTGCTCTATGGCCCCATTGTGCTTGCCTTTCCTGCCTTTCCTGTGTTCTTTGGGAGGTTCCCCCCACTATTAATGAGAATGAAGATGCAGCTGATGTCTGTTGAGTGTTGACTATCTGGGCTGATTCTGCTACCCACATACAATGCTGAATAGGTTCTTTAGTGAAAGCTTTTCCCTTCGATCTTCACAATAACCTTATGAGCTATCTAGTCTTGTAAGTATCCTTTTACAGATTAGGAATTGAGGCTCAGAAGAAGGTTAGAAGTTGGGTGTGGTGGCTCATGTCTGTAATCCCAGCACTATGGGAGGCTGAGGTGGGAGGATCACTTGAGCCCAGGAGTTAGAGGCTACCCTGGGAAACTAGTGAAACCCCTGTCTCTAAAAATAATAATATTAATAATAACAATAAGATAAAATAAATTAGCTGAGTGTGATGGTGCACACCTGTAGTCCCAGCTACTTGTGAGGCTGAGGTGGGAGAATCACTGGAGCTTGGGAAGTTGAGCATGCAATGAGCTGTGATCACACCACTGCACTCCCTCTTGTTTCAAGAAAAAGGGTGGAGGGGAAGGTTAGAGTAATTTGTCTAAATGTGCAGAGGGAGTGAGAAGCAGAACAGGGATGAATCCAAGATGTGCAGAGGGAGTGAGAAGCAGAACAGGGATGAATCCAAGAGGTCTGGCAAATACAGCACAGATGGCACGTGAGCACTGCACATTGCCTCCTAGATACACAAGATGGGATCCATTAAAGTGAGGCCAGACCTGATAACAAAAGTCCAAGAACCCCCTGAAATGTGCAGAAGGCTGGGAGAGGCTTGATTTATTTTCTTCATTTCCCAAGCTAGCAATTTAATTTTATGCTCTGATTTACAATATTTTAAACATGCATTCCCAATATTTGTATCCTTATTTATAAATTACATACTTGCACTGAAGTATTGATATATTACATCCACTGTAAAGCATACCTAAGTGGTTATAATTTTAAATGGTGTCTCAGTTTGAGCCATCATAGAAAAAATACCATAGACTGGACAGTTTAAATGGCAAACATTTATTACGGTTCTGGAGGCTGGAAGTCCGAAATTAGGGTGCCAGCATTGTTAGGTTCTGGTGAGGGTCCTCTTCTAGACTGTAGATTACTGACTTTTCATTGTATCCTCACATGACATAAGAGACCATTAGTGGGTAATTGGGCCCTGAGAGTGGAATCCTTGTGAACAGGATCTACCCATCAATGCAGTTATAAGCCTGCCTTGGCTTATGGGCTGGGAAATTAGGCTACACTTCTCTTTTGCTTTTGAGACAGAGTTTCACTCTTGTTGCCCAGGCTGCAGTGCACTGGCATGATCTCTGCTCACTACAACCTCCACTTCCCAGGTTCAAGTGATTCTCATGCTTCAGCCTCCTGAGTATGTGGGATTACAGGTGTCTACCATCACACCTGGCTAATTTTTTTATTTTTAGTAGAGACAGGGTTTCATCATGTTGGCCAGGCTGGTCTCGAGCTCCTGATCTCAGGTGATCCACCTGCCTAGATCTCCCAAAATTACAAAATTTATAAAAATTGGCTAAAAATACAAAAATTAGCCATGTGTGGTAGTGGGCACCAGTAATCCCAGCTACTCAGAGACTGAGGCAGGAGAATTGCTTGAACCCGGGAGGCAGAGATTGTAGTGTGCCGAGATCACACCACTGCACTCCAGCCTGGACGACAGAGCAAAACTCCATCTCAAAAAAACAAAAAACAAAAAAATATTAAGCCATAATATGTATTTGGGAGAAGGTTTATTGTTTTAGTTATCTAGTAACATGTAACAAATGATGCCCAAATTCAGTGATTTAAACTCACAAGTTTGTTTTGCTCATGATTTCTGGGTCAGGAATTAGGAAAGGGCTCAGCCGACCGGTTCTCACTTGGAGACCCTTGTGTAGTGCAGTGTGATATTGGATGAATCTGAGGCTACGGTCATTTGAAGGATGTCCAAGTTGTGTCATTGCCATGGCTGGCAGCTTTGGGAACTCAACTGGGGTTGTTGGTCAGAGCATTCATGTGATCCTTTACCACTATGATCTCAGTGTAGCTGGACTTCTTGAATAGCAGCTCTTGCTTCCTTCAGAATAAGCATCTCAGAAGAAACAAGATAGGGAAGCTATGAGGCTTTTCTTGACAGCCTTGGAAGTCATGTAACATTCCCTATGCCATAATCTATCCATCAAAGCTGTTATAAGCCTGGCTTGACTCAAGGGCTGGGGAATTAGACTATACTTCTTGATGAGGGAATAGCAAGATCACATTGTAAGCTAGCCTAAGGAGTGAGAGAGATGGTTGAGGCTATCTCTGGAGAAGGCATACCTCATCATTACAGATTAAGCCATTTATTAATAGATATTTATGGAATGCCTGCTATGTGCCAAGCTAAGAATATGAGTAAAAAGCATGGAAAAACACAAGATCCCTGCTATTCTGGAGCCTATATTCTAGTCCAGAAAATATCAGGTCATGGTTTTCAATATAAATCTATATGTTACATAATCTGCTTGATAACTTCATTTTTTTGTTTGTTTGTTTTGACAGATCTGCCTTGCTCATCATCATTTTATAAAAAATGTATTATTCTTTAAGTTCTGGAGTACATGTGCAGAACATGCAGGTTTGTTGCATAGGAGTCCGCATGCCATGGTGGTTTGCGCAGCAATCGCCCTGTCATCTACATTAGCTGTTTCTCCTAATGCTCTCCCTCCCCAATCCCCCCACCCCCTGCTATTCCTCCCCTAGCGCCCCATCCCCCACAGGCACCGGTGTGTGTTGTTCCCCTCTCTGTGTCCATGTGTTCTCATTGTTCAACACTCACTTGTGAGTGAGAACATTCGATGTTTGGTTTTCTGCTCATCACAATATAACTGATAATAATCTTCTATTAATGATGGCAGAGGTTACAGCCATTTTCTCCTTGCATGCAGATGCTTGCATTGTTAATATTTCCTTCAATTCAGATTACTTATAGGAATTTCTAAGCCACTAGTCCTTTTAGTGAGAGCTGCTATAGTTAAGAGGAGATAATGCAGTTTGTGAATCCACATTACTAGGCATGTATAAATTGCAAGGAACCTCAATAGACTGTAGGTGAGAGGCAGTCAGAATGCCATTGTCAACTGCAAACAGAGACAATTTGACTTCCTCTCTTCCTGTTTAAACACCATTTATTTCTTTGTCTTGCTGGCCAAAACTTCCAATACTATGTTGAATAGGAGTGGTGTGAGAGGGCATACTTGTTTTGTGCCAGTTTTCAAAGGGAATGCTTCCAACTTTTGCACATTCAGAATGATATTGGCTATGAGTTTGTCATAAATAGCTCTTATTATTTTGAGATATGTTCCAGTAATATGTAGTTTATTGGGAGTTTTTAGCATGAAGGGGTGTTGAATTTTATCAAAGACCTTTTCTGCATCTATTGAGATAATCATGTGGTTTTTGTCATAGGTTCTGTTTATGTGATGGATTACATTTATTGATTAGCGTTCTACTATAAAGACACATGTACACATATGTTTATTGCAGCACTGCCCATGATAGCTAAGACTTGGAACAAACCCAAATGCCCATCAATGATAGACTAGGTAAAGAATATGTGGCACATATACACCATGGAATACTATGCAGCAATAAAAAGGACGAGCACTTGGAAACCATCATTCTCAGCAAACTAATACAGGAACAGAAAACCAAACACTGCATGTTCTCACTCATAAGTGGGAGTTGAACAATGAGAACACCTGGACACAGGGAGGGAATATCACACACCAGGGCCTGTCATGGGGTGGGAGGCAAGGGGAGGGAGAGCATTAGGAGAAATACCTAATGTAGATGACAGGGTGATGGATGCAGCAAACCACCATGGCACATGTATATCTATGTAACAAAACTGCACGTTCTGCACATGTATCCCAGAACTTAAAGCATCATCATAATAAAAAAAGAATGCCATCATCTCCCCCATCCCCAGTTCCTCTGAGTTGTAGAATTCCCACCTTGTCTCAGAATTTCTGCAATACCATATGTAACTGATGCAGAGGGAGTGAGGCAAGTGTCAAGCTGCTTATTAAAATATAACAGTTTAATTTCTTTCTTATTTTTAGTTTGAAGTAAGTATAAATAGAAGGTCTAATGTCTTTTTTCTGCTTATTTCCCTCTTTGGAGGCCACTGCTCTACACAAAATGAGAAAACGCTTCTCACTGGTTAAAGAGGGGTGATGCTTCTGGAAAGGACACAGTCCCCAGTAATGGAAACAACTCCACGCCTTGCCTCTGTAAGTGCCTTCTCTTGAGTGATGATGCCAAAGGAGCTGAAATGAGTTGCAACTTGCAGGAAGTAGCCTGACATACAATGTTGTTTAAATTAAAGTGAATGCAAAAGAGAAGCTTGTTAGAGCTTAAATAGATAGGGGGAGAACTTTTTCTGTTTCCAATTGCTTGTCTGCTTTGGGTGGAGACCATATGCTTTGAAGAATCTTACAAATGTTTCTGTCCATATACATATTAGAATATCTCAGGCTTTTCTCTCTGGAAGCCTTTATGCCCTTGTCTGAAGGATCTATAAAAGCAATAAGCCATCTTGTAAATGGAGCTGGAATATGGGATGCTCTTGTTCCTTTCTTGCCAGCGGCCACTGGCATTTATTCCATAGTTGATGCATCAGTGACCAGGGTTATTGCTCCCAGAATTCATGTTAAACCACACAAGCAATGGAAATTTTCTCAGCTATGCTGTGAACTCAGTCTATGCTTATTTCAATTCTGGCTAAATCACTCAAATATGAATAGTAATAAAGATATTAACAGCAATGCTAATATTAATTCTAATAGCTAAGAGTACCCAGTGCCTACTCCTTGCCAGATGCTTTGCTAGGAAGCCACATGGATTTAATTGTTACTCCTTACAGTAACCTTATGAGAAATATACTGTCATTTATTGGACATCAGAGCAGGAAACTTTTCCAAAGTTTGGAGGAATTAAACAACTGGAACAATAAAGACTGAGTCCAAGGAGGATCCCCATAGTCTGACTCCAGAGTTGCAAGTTTAATTAATTACTTTCTATCTCCTAATATATATATATATATAAGTGATATAGATATATATATAACATAAATATCTATTGTATAATAATATAAATAGCTATTGTATTATATATATCTATATGTATATAACTTATATGTAAGTTATAACAAATAAATTTTAACCACTATGGAAAACTTGCAACTCAAGTTCCTATATATATGATATGGTTGGCTGTGTCCCCACCCAAATCTCATCTTACATTTTAGCTCCCATAATCCCCACTTGTTGTGGGAGGGACCCAGGGAGAAGTAATTGAATCGTGGAGGTGGGTTTTTCTCTTGCTGTTCTAGTGATACTGAATAAGCCTCATGAGATCTGATGGTTTTATAAAGGGCAGTTCCCCTGCACATGCTGCCTTGCCTGCCACCGTGTAAGACATGACTTTGTGCCTGCCTCATTTTCTGCCATAATTGTGAGGCCTCCCCAGCCATGTGAGACTGTGAGGCCATTAAACTCTTTCTCTTTATAAATTATCCAGTCTTGGGTATATCCTTATAGAAGCATGAAAATGGACTAATACAATATATAAATATGTATTATAGATAATTTATAAACATAAACATTTTGTATATTATATAAACTATATAGATATTTACATAATATATAAATATATGTGATACTATATATAATATATTATTATAATTACCCATCAATATAATATGCTAAGTATATAATTTGTTAGAAGGTTATGTGGGCCAGCTCTACACTGCTTCATGACCGTCTCATGTCAATGCCTCTTGTAAAGCATTGCCAGGTGTTGGTGGCAGAATTCTAAGATGACCTTCAGTGACCCTCACCCTTGTGCAATCCCCTCCCCTTGAGTGTGGGAGGAACGTGTGAATATGATGAGTTATCACTCCCATGGTAAAAGAGATTTTAACCATTGTAATCATGATGCATAATTAGTTGACATTAGGATGAGGGGATTATTTTGGGTGGGCCTGATCTAATCAGGTGAGCCCTTGAAGGAGATCATGCTCTTCCTGTAGAGAGAGTCAGAGAATGAGTAGGATTTGGTATGAGGAAGGATCTCCAGTGCTGGCTATGAATATGGAAGGGGTCATATGGCAGGGAGTATGGGTGGCCTCTATGAGCTGTGAGCCAGCAAGAAAATGGGGACTTCAGTCTTACAACTGTAAGGAACTGAATTCTGTTGATAACTTGCATGAGCTTGGAAATGGATCCTTTCCCAGACCCTTCAGATATGAATGCTGCTTAACTGACAGCTTGATTTCAGTCTTGTTGGATTCTGAAAAGAGAACCCAGCCATGACATGCCTGGGCTTCTTATCAACTGAAGTGAGAGCTCATGAATGGAGAGATCTCATTATGTTAAGCTGCTATATTGGTAATAATTTGTTACATGACAATAGAAAAAATAATATACTGTGGATTTCCATGTACTTCTGCACCATAGACTCATTGAAGTACCATGAATATTTTTTTGTTTTTGTCTTTTCTTTCTCTTTTTAATTATCTCATTTGCATTGTGCTTACACATAGCAGGTGCTGTAAATGTGAGCTAGACAGGTTGTGAGTCTAGTTAGGAGGACAGGCTCTGGAGCAAGACTGCCTGGGTTTAAACCTGGCACTGTGTCTTACCAGCTGTGGGACTCTGGGCACCTTATTTAGCTGCCATTTGTAAAACAGGAATGAAAGAATCATGCTTGCTTATAAGGCTGGGGTGAAGATGAGATGACTTTTGTGTGTAAAGTGCCTAGTATATAGAGTATATAGTGAGAACTCAATAACATGTTAGCTATTGTGTGTTTCACAAATTAGCCAATACATCTTAACTACTATGGAAAAAGAGTCCTATAGAAAATTCCCAAATGTCTCTACCTACTTAAGATAAGTTTATGGATTTTTAAAACCTTTTTTGGGGATGCTTGCTATTAAATTATTGAGGCACCCGTACTACATGGATGTCCTCTGGCACCATGGAGAATTGGGGCTCAATCCTAAATGGTCCCATTCTTTATGATTTCTATTTGAATTTCTTTGGAGAGAGAATCTGTATTCTTTGAATGAAACTTGAAAAAGTTCCTATTCACATATTAGAATATCAGTATTTGAGGGAAAAATTGATTTCTTCTTTGTTGTTAGATGCTCCCTTCTGGGCATGACCATGTACTGCATTTAGCAACAGTTGCTTCTGGTGTCCCCAAATCTACTGTGGGCTGAAAAATTCACAGAGATCAACCAAGTATATATGTCATGCTCTATTTGCCCTGGCAGGGCAGCTTGCCACCCTTTCCTACCCAGCTCTCTAACTGCAAAGCTGAACTTTAGGGGATACATCAACTGGCACCCTAACTCACTGCCTTTCAGCTGGGCAAACTGGCAAGAAATAAGAGGGAAGAGAGGCTGAGATATTTGTTTCCTAGACTCAATTTTTCTGGGATTGCCTTGGCTGTTCGTTCTCTTTGTGGTCATCATTCCACTTCAAATAGACTTTATTCACAGAGTTCTTCCTTATTCCTGATTCTGGGAGCAACTTCCTTCTCTTTCGCTTCAGACCTCGGGATGGTAAGAGCTCCTTCAAATTTCCTATGCCAAACCCCTTTGTAAATAGTGCCTTTACTAAACTGCCCTCAAATTATCCCAGTCTAGATGAGCCATTTGATTTCTGATACCCCCTTCACTGTTATACCGAGATCTTTAGATTTTTAGGAAGAGTTCAGAGTCCACAGGATCTGACTGTAGCTCTCTCATATTAGCAAAGTGCTTGAGTTTGACCACATCTACATGGGCTGTTCAAAGGACCATTTCTCTTGTTTTTCACTGGGTTTTCAGTTATATTCTAGATGATGGAAGTTGGCAGAGAAGTGACCTGTGTATAAATGAGATATTTCAGAATGTTTTGCCATCAGGACATCTCACTCCACCGCATCTTATTTTGAAGCAAGCTCAGGTCTGAATCCATTGAAGCAGGAGCTGACATACTGAAGGAGTGAATCTTCAGACCAGACAATTTTTAAAGGTTGTTTGTACATGTCTTTAGATAAACTGAATTGTCGCTTGAATTCCATTTTCTGCAGATTATTTCGGGGAATTCTCGAAATGGAGAATGCATTCAGTTCTGATATGGAACACTTCTATTTTGCATATTGACATGCATTTTAAGAAGAAAAAGGTCAGTGATGGGAACAGCACTGCTTGTTGGTGTGACAGTCGACATTTACCTGAGTCTTCTTCATACACTGCAGTTTAAGATAATTTAGTAAAATAATTGTCATGATTGATTTTTATTTTCTTTCTGGACCCACAATTCACACTGTTACTCTTGGGCTAAGTAACTTTCAGAAGCTTAAATTTCCTTTTGGTGAAAATTCATTTCTTAAGTTATGGGTGGATGACAAACTTTGATTAAAATCATGAACTCTTTTATGATCTGTTGGTGAAAGCTGGTGAACCCAATTGCTGTTGACTTATTCTCTGACCAATATCTATTTACCGGGTGACATGAGAATGGCAGAAAATGAATGGTTGGGATTTTTTGTGCATAATATTCTTTCTTATAAATCACACATCTTCTGAGGACTTTGGTGGGAACCTGGGGAGAAAGGTGGCATTCAAACACATTGTCATCACCATCATAACAGTCATGCAGCTTTACATAGTAATTCTTTGTCCACCAGTAGTATGATCACACTTTTGGGAAAGAAGAGGAAAAGTCAAATTATATTTAAAGTAGGTTACAACTTTCACTGATGAGAAAAGACAGATGCACTTGAGGAGAAATGCATGACACTTAGATCAAAGGAAAGGAACAGATGCCCAGAGAGAGCCAGAAAAATATCAGATAAAAGAAAATCTAAATTCAGTTTGAGAAACATTTATTGACCAACTACTATGTGCCAAATGCTCTGTCTGGTGTTTCTCACAGAATCAAACAAGATGGACGTCACATTTACATTAGCTTGTTTGGCATCTCCCGGGAAAAGGGGACAAAAAATTATCTCTGGTAAGGATTTGCTGACTTTTCCAGCCATGTAGCCACTTCTCCCTCTGATTTTCCTCAGTATCGTTCTTCCTTATTCTCAGGCTTTGAGTTATAGAGAGGGCTGACCCTATGTCTATTCCCAACCCCAGGGGTGGACATGGGACCAGGCTGAGCCAATTAGCACAGCAATAGATTTAGCTAGCCCCCTGGTCCAAGTATTGCTATCATATTCAATCATACACTTG